TGTTTCTTATAACCACCCTGTGTGTTGGGTAACATTATGTCTATTTTATACATGTGAAATATTGAAGCCCTGGAAATATTACATAAGATCATTTTCTGACATAAAAACCACAAAACTAATGAGTGTATGAATGACCAAGATTTGAATTCAGGTCTAAAAGACCTTCAAGTGCAAATTATGTACTATTCTCATTTATTTCTCTTCTATCCTATTTGTTCACTATGATAAAAATGAAAAGCAGGTATTTAGTGACAAGCTTGTCCGATCATCTGTAGATAAGTGAATGTTGATAATGAATAATGTGATACGAAGATATTTTCATTGTACCAATGGAATGGATTCCACCTGACAAGCAGAGGTTTGATGTAGTTTGAACACCTAGTGAAGGGTGGAAGAATACGTTTTATTGTCACTCTGGGTTCAGAAATTTTAGCTAAAGAGATCAGAGCAATTCCCAGTAATCACACAGCATAGCTGCTGAGAATCTGCATCCTGTCCCTGAATTTCCTTAAGCAGCTAATTAGTTGCAGGAAGGAAGGAGGCAAAGATGAGCATCCCCAGTGGAATCTGCTCTTGGACCACACAACTTCTTGTCAGCCCACCAAGGTACCAGACACTAGCCTTTTCCTAAAGAGGCTATGTCACCTCTCATATTCAGGGGCATCCAATTCCAACAAAACAGGAAGTGGATAGAAGCAACACTGTAAAGAGAGGCCAGAATCCACACAGCAGATGTCAGAGGTGGAATGAATCCCCTCACCAGTGACCTGAAGATACTAGTGCTTACCGAGGGTGTATGTCTTGATTCCATATCTGTCAAATATTCCTGGATATGTCTTTCCTGCCACCATGATTCTCTCTCATGGCACCACAGGGAGTGATCTCTCATTTCTCAAAGCATCTTGGTAGGGTAAATGAAGGCAGTCTGACTTCCTCAACCAGCTCTCTGGGCAACTAAGGGAAGCAGTGTTCCCATAGCCTTGACTGGGCCTAATAAGCAGTGTTCTCATAGCCTTGAGACTGGGTCCGATGAACTGTTCCCATAACATGGAGTGGGCTCACATGTGCAGAATCATGCTATGTATGCTATATAACTTTCTCACTGGAAGACAGCTTTCTTTGCCTCTAGTACTTAAGCCAGTAGGGACTCCCAGCTGGGTGCCATGACAGGTGCCACACAAGGGGACAGGTGACATGCAGCATACCATGCAGAGACATGCAGGGAGACACGTAGCTTTCAGTGTGTGAGGCTCACCCACCCGAGAATAAAGGCATGTCAGACATCCCCACAGCTTCGTGAACATTCTTCAGTCTGTCTGAGTACCGTGAACCTGTCAGGCCTTGAATGGTCGCAACACAGTCCCCAAACTCGGTCTCCTCAGTGAGTCTCCTTAGACTCCCACGGCGAGTCTTAGCACAACAGGATTTCGGCCTGATGCCCTATCAGCTCCTTCTCTTTTGTTTTCCCCAATGGGAGCCCCTTGATCTTCTTTCTCAGCTATATTAGTTTTCCTTAAAGCACTTTCTGCACAACCATAACCAACCATATCTGCTCCAGAAAATAAGAATTATCTAAGGACAGAGAAGGAAGAAATTAGGGGGTATTGTGTTTGGTGCATAATACAGATGAAAATTTGTACTTTGCTTTTACAGTGGTTTCAGACTGTTAGAATACATTGGTATATGTATAGCTTTAAGTAGGAAGCTTCTGTAGCTGCATTTTCCCCGTTCTGTCCTATCCAATGTCCTATCCAATATCATCGACTTTCACTTACTGCAGATCCCTTCCTCTGCCTGTTTATGAGTGCATTTCACAGTGTGCCTTTAAAAACTCCCTATTTAGTTTCTAATACCCAAGAGGTTGCTTCTCTCTTGAAGAACAATGGTACTCGAGAGGAAGAGAAATGCTCCTGAGACAACGGTTGCCAGATTTAGAGAAAAAAAAGTACCATCTATTTATTGAAGTTTGAATTTGAGATATGCAACAAATATTCTTTTAATATATGTCCCAAATATTATATATTTATGGGATTTACTTATGCTATATGTAATATCATACTAAAATTATTAGATTATATTAAAAATCCATTGTTTATCTGAAATTCAAGCATAACTGGGTGTTTTATATTTTCTCTGGCAATCCTGTCTGAGGGCAGTTTTCAGATTCCATAGAGACCAGAGCTGGACTGTCAGAGAAAGCAACACAGTTCTGAACTTTCCCAGTAAGTAGAGGAGGTGAAGAGGTGGTTTTTCCCATAAGAAACAGCATAGGAAGGGGTATTAGTTCAAACGTGGTATATCCCCTCAGGACTGACCCACTCTGCCGCTGTAGGAATCAGAGTAGATGATAAAATATATCTGGTTAATAATATTTTATACATCATTGTTTGAAGCTACTCCAGGCTTATTTTTGGAGGCATTCATGTCAATTCATTGTTATTCCTTTATTCTTCCTCCCTGAGATGATTTTTTAATATTTTAAACTCTATGAATCTGAATAGTAAATTCCCATATCTATTTAAATATTGACATTAAACAATTTTTGAGGACTGCAGTTATCTTTAATGGAATAGATGAGGATACAATAGAAACAAATAATTACCACTGAAATCCATAAAAATGAAAATAAACTTCTCCAAACTGTTAAACACAACTTCAGAGTATGATGTCCATAACCCATGTGTAAAGGTCCAACCAAGGATTAGTGTAACTAGTGTTGGTTAGAGTTCAAATTAGTCAGATAAAAAAATCAACCAAATTCTGAATGTCAAATGAAATCCTAAGACTCTAAAGTTAACATGATTATAAGTCTAGAATATTAAGGTTAACAATTTGCCAATAGTTGGATAAACTTTGATAAATGTAGTCTATTGCCATGTAACACAGCTGTACTGCCAACCGTAAGCCCCATAATTTACAGAAATGAGAATTTAGGCCCTACTCCCACTCCAATTCTTCTCATTAAAAAAAAAAATTGACACTGTTTGGGCTTATGGTAGGGGAAAAGGGCTTTGTTAGCCCCCAGCTCAAATTCTATAATGGAGTGGTAGATTCAAGATGGCTACAAATTGTTTGCTCTTCTTCACACTAAAAAGTGAATAATTTCCTTCCCCTTGAACCTGGGTTGGCCTTAGTGACTTGCTTGATCAATACAATGCACCATAAGTGATATGCTGGCAGTTTTGAGGCAATTTTAAAGAAGCCTCTTTTGACTTCCACCCAGGTTCCTTGAAGTGCCTTGAGAATCCAGAGTTACTGTGTATTATCTGAGACCATGTGGCTCAGGAGGCCATGTGTAGCCCCTCTTGTAGACCGCTCCAGTAGAGTTCAGCCTTCTGGCCACTGTCATCCAGGCAGACATGTAAATGAAGCTCGCTTGGGCTACTAGACCAGCCTGCCCACTGGCAGAATGCTACCAAGGGATCTCTTATTGATGTCCCAGGGAACGGGACAGCCCAGCCCAGCCCTGCTGGAATTCCTGACTCCTGAAATTGTAATATAATAAAATGGTTATTTTAAGGCACTAAATTTTCAAGTAGTTCTTTGAGCAGCAATAGATAATCAGAACAAATAGTGCTGTATTAATCTTTACACTGAAGAACAAGACCAGGTGGAAGAAAAGAAGGGTGGGCTGATTACAGAAGGTAAAGGAGGAGGAGTGAAATAAAATTCTACAAAAAAAAAAGAAAAAGAAAAAGACTGTAATTGCCATGCATATGAATAAAAGATGGACTGGAGCTTTAGAAGACCACAGCATGTTTTAAAGAATCAGTCCCAAATTTTTGTCAGGCTGCGACTGTGATTTTGGGCCACACTCACAACTTTGACCCAATTTCTTTGAGATTCAGAGGGAAAGCAGCAGTCAAGTCTCACCCCGTGCAGATGCCATGGACAGTAATGAATATACATGATAAACAAATATGCTGCAAATAAGAGCTGAAAATGCTAAATATGTAAAAAGCAATCTTTGCATCTACTGAAAATCTTTCATCAGATGATTTCAAATTGAAGGTGTCTCAGGAGAAAATAACTTTGAAAATGCAAACAGATTTTTATTTTTTGTACTTTTATTGGAAAGGTACATTAAAAAAATACACAGACATTTTACCATTTACGGATTGCAGATACAGATGCTCAGAAAGAGTTCACTCTGTTTGGCTGTGTTATGATACCTCTTGCCCCTGATCACAAACATTCCAGTCTTGTGATATCAACTGAGAAATGGGGCACAGGAGCGTGACCTGCAACATAGTCAGTGAACAGAAAGACAAATTGTTCAATTATAAATTTTTTAATCTTCTGTACATTATTGCATTAGGGAGCCACAAGATTATGTAGCATCATTACAAATGAAAACAGGTTAAAAACAAAGAAGGTAATTACACAGAAATACATGGATTCATTGTCTTCTTGCAGAATGCACAAGAGGTGCAAAAATGTGCAATTTAGGAAGCTCTTTTCTGTTTGTATACATTTGCTTAGCAACTCACACTGTGAAAAAGCTACAAAATAAGTTAAACAAAAATAGCAAACAGGTAGAAACTATAGCTATGTTATATGGCTTTCTATTTCTTTTAAATATCACCAAATAAAATAGAATATAAGGAAAAATACATTATCTTTTGTTCTCTGAATGAGAACATTCAAAGCTATCTTGCTTCCTAACATTTACACAGCAACTAAAAATGCTGAACTCAGACAAGAGATACAGATCTAGTACCACACAGGATGCAACAGTACTTGGGTCTGAGACAGTGTATGATCCCTGTCGGCAATGGGACACGGACAAGAGAGGGTTGTGATCCACTGGTAAGATGGTCTCCACAAGCAAGCACTTGTGTTCATCTATTTTTGTTCCACACTAGAAGGTGCCCAGTTGGATTCCAGAGTTATTTACAGACATGTGAGGAAGACCCTATATTTCAAGTCTGTCAGGAAAATATTCCACATTGTTTCTAAGCCAGATCACACTCATGGAAAAATAGAGAATGGTATATGTATATATATATATTTTTTTTGACCAATACATTTGCAAGAAACTGAATATCTCAGATACACAAACTGAATGAGGACAGGGGGCATGGGAGGCGTGGAAGGGAACAGGGAAGTAAAGCCTGTGCTGCTCAGATTCCTAAAAGACAGGAGCGGTTCCTAAAAGCACTCTTGCCTCTAGTGATGTGTTATTCTTTGGAGTCGGCTCACACTTTGTGTCTGGGTGGGGACGCTGCAACACAAAATGCTTCAACTGCTGAATCCTTCTGGCTTCCCTTCTCGACTTTCCTACTTACTGGCTTCAGCCGACTCGGGGCTTGCAGACTTAATAGGGAGCAAAGAGGATGGAGGCAGGTGCGGCGCGGATGGGCCCGTGGCCGGGCCGCAGGAGAGCAGGCGGTAGGGCCGGCGCCTGGAAGAGCGAGGCCGATGGCCGAGCCGGTAGCGACAGCGCTGAGGACACCGCGGCTGCCGCCAGGGGCGAGGACAGGAAGGCCGGGGCCAGAGGCTTCATCATATCTTTCTGGAATGCAAGTTTTGCCTAAAAGGAGGGAGATAACCAGGAAAGGGGTAGGGATATTGTCTTGAATGAACACCACAGATACGTTTTCATAAGTAAGACACCAACATTAAAAAGTCCAATTTTAAAGATCTTTCAGATGTCAAGGCATGATTATTTTCACAAAGCTGGTTTCAAAGGCTGCTGGCGTACCTTGACTTTGATGTGTGTCCATTTCAGCTCTTTTTTGGTGGTCTTTGCCCAGTGGCACTAGGACACAGGAAGCCCTCTCTGAATAGATCCTAAATCTATTCCCTACTGTGGCTCAGAAAGAAAACACAAACATCCCCAGAAGGTTTCCTGCTCAGACAACGGAGCTCAATTCAAAATTCTGACTTGTCTTAAACCACAATGCAGCCTTGAAAGAGTTTTTAATTAAATTTTTTGAAGGATATTCATAACCCTTCACCTCACTTCTTTTCCAAAAGCCGCACTGGGATAGGCAACAGGGGTTCTTGACTTAGGGCCCACGGAGAGTCAGGAAAACAAAGTCAGTTCACACCTCTCTCTGGCCACTTAAGCCTATTCCTTGAAAAACTGCAGCTAACTCAAATTTCTTTCATTGGGAATCCCTGTAGGTGGTCCAGTAACTCCCTATGTAAAGGAATCCCAGGGTAGAATCCTCCTGTGAAGCAAGAAATGGATTCTTAATTTCTGTTTTGCAATCAGGAAGTGTTTTGCAAGCTGTGTTTGTTTAATGCAGGTTACAGTCTTCAGCATCAGATGAAGGTTTTAAAGAAGCTGGAAGATGAGAAAACTCAGAACCACCTCTAGTTGGCCACTCTCAGCTTTGACCTCACACAGAGTGCCAGGCTGGGTCCCAGGGAGACTGAAATCCACTCATCTGGGTATTTATATGATACCTATTGCTGAAGCCCTTGCATATTTTTGCAAAGAAACTGAAAACTGAGCAGGTGAGACAGGCTGATTACCAACCTGCCTACTAGACAAGGAAGGAGAACAGCATATGCATGTACTTTACCTTCTGGGGAGATGTGGGGGGGAGGGCGGAGGTAGAGGGAGGGCGGGAAGGGAGGAGGAAGACATTAAATTAATGAATTTTTGTTTTCTGAAAGCAATCCCTTTCTCCAGGTTCAACAGCCATTGCATTCCTGTTCCTGAGCTTTTACCTTTCTTTATATGCTAAAGAAAGTAGCCTCTTCGAAAGGTCCCGCTAAAGGGTAAGTTATTAGCTATTAAAGAGGTCCTGCTTCTCTTCAAGGTGCCCTACAGCAGAGACCAGGCAGTTCATTTTAAAACTCCTGTTTACATGGGCTATTTAAGTTCCCAACCTTTCAGAACCAATTAGTCCCGAGGCCCTCCTTCCCCCAAAACCTGCCCTAGACAGCAAGGCTGCCCTGCAAAACAGGAACAGGCCGGGTGAACTTACTGCTAAAATGCTTGGGCTCCGCTGGAGTTTGTTGTATGGGCTGTATTTCGGCTTCAGTGGCTTCCCTGCAACTCGATCCTTATGCCTTCGGCTAGAAATGTGCTGAAAAAAGTTTGATGCGTTAGCTGAATCTAAATGTGAGTTTTATTCCATGTAAAATATATTTCCTAGATAGAGGTAGCTGGTTTCACCATGATTTATGAGGCTTTAATACCAGAGGTAGCTGGACCCAGTTGTAGGTACAAGTTCCAAGTAGTGTCCTTACCAGTGGATAAGCCTGTACCCTCCACCCGCCCCTTATTGTTCTCAGCGAGCCAGGTGCCTGATGCTCCACAGACTGTGCCAAGCTGCAGGAAGGAGGAGGAGGACCTCTTTGTGAATGGGTGCACAGCTCATCATCTCAGAGGCCCAGGCTCAACTGATTGCTGCAGAGGAGCATCCAACTGCCTGGCATCTTAGTCATGTGACTGCCCAGCCCAGAGGTGGTGGAAACCCTGGTGGGCACCAGGAGTGGTGCACCTCTGCCAGTGAACGCTGAGGCCCAGTTGCAGCAAAGCATTCGCCTGGAGGTGGTGAAGCTGCTGCAGACTCCAGGCCAAAGCTCGTAAGGAGGGAAACTGGGAAGCCTCGGAATGCAGCGGGAGCCCATTCCCTGGAATGGTGGCAGGGGGAGGTTCTCACACTGAGGGTGTAAAAATCCCTTCCCTCCACCTCTCTAGTACCAGATTGGGGGTGGGACCAGGGGAAGGCATGCACCTGCCCACATAAGTCAAATGGTAGCAAGGAGAGGTGCTAGACCAAAGAGGCCTGTCAGTCTAGCCTAAGGAAAAAAAGGATTGGTTGGGAGGTGCACCCACCCATAGCACACAAAGTTTGAGAACTTCATTGGTCATTTAGAAAAAGCACCTGGTCCACCCCACACCCAAGCTAAGATAAACCAAGGAGAACAAAGAAGTCTCTCTCTCTCACTCCTGGCTTGCTGGCTCTGTCCTGCACTTAGCTGGTGTGCTGGCCTATTCTCTCCATGGTCCACGTGGCCTTAGCAGCCATATGGCCCATGTTCTCCAGGAGGGAGCCTCTCTTGCTCTTCACCCACCTGATGCTGCAAGAGCCATGTGTACATGCTCCCCACCCCAGGAGTATGTGACCTTGGGGCCCTAGCAACTGCATGGCCCATGGCTGCATGAAATCCACACGCAGACCGGGGGGTGGGGGGCTGAAATGGTCACCAGCAGGAACAAGCTAAGCTATCTGGATGACTACTTAGCAGCCACCTGTGGGCTCCCAAGGATGGTTCTTTAAAATGGAGCAGGGACTCTGGGCGCTGCCTTTTGTTTTGGTCTTGCTGAGGATGGGTGGACTTTGTCTTGGTTTTGCAGAAGAGATGAGCTTTGAAATGGGGAATCTGTAAATCTCTCAGATCATGCAGCATTTGGGTAAAACCTCTTTCCTTTTTCAACACTGACAGCCTCACAGGTTTGGCTTTTGTGGCAGCAAGCAGACAACCCCCCTTTTTTGCTCAGTTACAGTGTCCATAAAATCACCCTGCTCTCTAAGTGAAGGTTTGCCCCCACTCCACTGTAATGCCTCCCTCCCTTTCCTCTGTCTCTAAACCTCTCATCTGACTTCGCCTGGTATTAGCACTGTGACTGTTGAGTCTGTCTCACTAACCGGACTCTGGGTCCTTGGAAGACTGGCTGAATATCTCACTGATCTCCCAGAAGTTGCTACTTCACTGTAAGCTCCAGGTGACTGCTGTGCTCATCTGTCTCTAATACCTAGTCTGGAATCTGACATATAGTAACAAGTTGTGCGCAAATACTTGGTACAGACTTCTTCTTCCACAAAGCACCTGTATTTTGTATACTGTATGCATCCTATAAAGGTGAGGATAAAAAAAAGGGGCCACGTACTAAATCTGACAAATTCAGGGGAGGCCTGCATGGTAGGCCTTACGAACTCAGGGACCTAACCACATAGTATGATCTGAAATTAAAAATTCCCAGTGAAAAGAAACCCATGGTAGGTAGTCATGTCATAGTCTGGTATCTTTCCAGGCAAAGGTCAGTCTTTACCTTAACTGGGCCTGTCTGTGGCTTTTTTTGCATCTAGCATCACACGCCTTTGGGATGTCTGGGTAGTTTCCTTTCTCCACACCACTCATGGCACACTCACTCTCACTCACTCAGCAGAGCAGAGACTACAAAACCCCTCACTGTTGTCATTATGTTGATTGCTAACTGTTCTGTACCCACCAGTGTAAAAGAAGTATGTGTCTATTCATTGTACTTTTTATCCAATTCCAGAGATTCTTCCCCCTTTTGCTTTCTCCTACCTTCCTAGTCCATCACTAACGGATTTCATGTAACCCCCTCATGCCTCCTACTTTCATTGTAAGGTATAAAATTAGATGTAAAACTGCCACTGTCTGGAGCATTTTCTCAATCTGATGAGATTTTGCTTCCTGGCAATTGTCAGTTTGGCTCAAAGAAACTCATATAAATTCTTACAGGTTTGGATGTTTCTTACACTGACAAATGTAAGTAAATTTAACTGTGAGCACAGTGACAATCATTACTGTATTTTGCCATGTATAGTACACACTTTTGAGGGGAAAGTAAGGGCGTGCATTATACACGGGGAGTTCCTGAAATACCTTGTATCTGTTCTTGTGTTTTGTAGTTATTTGTTACATAAAATTTCTCATACCATAATATGTCCAAAACTAATTGCTGAAATTCCTTTATAATACAAAAAACAAGTATCTAAATATAAATAAAAATTGAATTAAAAAATTAAAATGAAAGATATTTTTTTCCTGAACGTTTGTCCAAAAACACAGGTATGCAGTATACATGACCAAATACGGTATACAGATTATGAAGTACACAGTTAAGGGGTGACCCCCACCCCAAACAGTGGCTGATTCAGAATACATTACCTGTTTAAGTTGGATTTCTGAATTAACATGAACATCACAGATTTCACAATGAAATGTCTTGTTCTGTAGTCCTGAACCCTTACTGCCATTATGCATCTTTAACCTTGACCCAGGTCGAGGATAGGACTTAATGGGACCAGCCCCATTACGAGCTTCAACCATGGTCTTGTGTTTTGACCCTAAAACAGAAAGAGACAAATGTTAAACAGCTAATAGGAGCTACATGAAGTTCTCTGGTTTCCTATTCTCGAGAAGTATTTTCTGGCTGAATTTCCCAATGCTTTTATTTTTAATACTATTTTAATTCTTATTATACATTTAACACATATTCATGGTAAAAAATGGGAAAACAAGAGTATAGAATAAAAAGTATAGAAAGTATGGAGAAGCATGAGAAAATAAAGATTATCGGTATTTTCAAAGTCCAGACATAATCAACATTATCATTTTAGTGCATTTCTTTTTAGGTTATTTTTTAGTATATAAAAAAATAAATGTAGTCCAGTGTTACTCCACTAAATTCAATAAAAAGAAAGAAGCAAATATGGTCAATAATGAGAAGTTTGCATGGTGAAAGATGATTATTGGAATTAGTGGGGTGATCACAGTGCAAGGTTTAAAAATGTCCAGTCTATATACTGTATACTTGAAAATAATACAACTGATATATTATATACCAATTATACTTAAATTAAAAAATCTGCATACAAATACACATATTTTTTCAAAATAGGGATCATACTAGTTAAATATTCTGAAAATTTCACATATCAAATTGTATACATCCTTTCTCTGAATTACATTGTAATGGCTGAGTAATATAATCTACAGTAGAGAGTTCCTATGAGTTATTCAACATTTCCCTATTGAAGGACTTCTAGGTTGTTCCCATTTTTTTCTCTCATAAGGGTGTTACAGTGAACACTGTGCACAGATATTTGTCTTTGTCCCTGTCACTTCCTTACAATGAGTTTTGGGAAGTGTCAGACACTTTTGAGAAAATAAAGAACAGAACAAGTTTTATCTCCAGCCTGCTTTTGCCTTGCTGTTTGCAAAGTCATTATGATCACACTTTTTTCAAAATTATACCTTTGAATCATGAAAGTAGAGAAGACACTGAACAAACCCAACGTTTGAACACCTAATGGTGTTTTGATGAGAAAAGTTGGATCTTGTTATCAACAGTATTTAAATCTCCACCGTAGCGGCTAACCTGTGTTGTGTGCCTCCAGCTGTGACAGGGAGTTCACAGCCACTTTGCATAGAGAACAATAAAGCAATTTTTTGGCTTTTTCTTCCTCTGATTCAGAAAGAGTCCCAGGAGCTCCATTTGTGCTCTTGGAGGGAGAGGTGTCTGCTCCTGGCGGCAGAGGTGTTGTGCCAGGTCTGAGGAGAAATGAGCCGCCTTCAGAGCTCGACGGCTGACTGGAACTGTTGACTTTTAGCTTCCCTTTGTCGTCTAAGAGAGACACAGAGATATGGTATCAAAGCCTCGTCTCATATAAACACAGATATGTAAAGGAGTTAAATATAAGAATTTGATTTCTGTATTTGGTTTTACCCCATCCCACAGTTTAGTCCACTGAATCTGACTGAAAGAGAATTCCATGCCATCGGTTTTCATATCAGGTCACCCCAAAGTCAGGATGACTTATAAAAAATAACTTCAAAGCCCTGGCTGGTGTAGCTCAGTGAATAGAGTGCGGGTTGCGAACCAAAGGGTCACTGGTTCAATTCCCAGTCAGGGCATATGCCTGGGTTGCAGGCCAGGTCCCCAGTGGGGGCCACATGAGAGACAACCACACATTGATGTTTCTCTCCCTCTCTTTCTCCCTCCCTTCCCTTTTCTCAAAAAAAAAAATACAATCTTTAAAAAAATAACTACATTCTCCTACTCAAAGTACATAACTTCCTATCAAATACCCTTGAGTTGTAAATTTTGCTCCAGGGAAGACTTTAATATATATTTAGAAAACCTGCTACCCTGCCATATGATTACATGATATGACGGGAACATGAAATAAGTCATGAGGCAATGGGGGTTTCATTCAACTACTCATGTTTTAATTAGGACATGAATTTAAAGTTAAAAACCAATCTCTATACCAAGTTGTAAATTTTAAGTTTGGGTTGTGGGATAGAAAGGTGGGAAGAAACATGGTTTACTTGGGTTATGATTGGTTAAGTTTTTGCTGTTCTTTGGACTGCAATGAAATTTATCCAAAATACAGGATGCAAAGTTTCCATAACACTTACTAATTACTGCCACTCTAAGTCATACATTTTAAATAATGACACAAACCATAAGCACAATATGAAGATTGGCCAAATAATTCACAGACATCTCGGCATTTTGATCTTGTAGCTGCTAAATGCTTACACTGCTCAGGACTCAGGAGCAGGCCACATGAAGGGCCAGAGTGACTGTACCTCTTCAGGGGTCATTTGCTATTCACCACAGGCTCTGTTCAGTGGCCCCTTTGGGAAAGAAACTGGAACTTCTCAGGCAATAGCAAAATCCATCAGAGGTTTAATCCTACTCGAGCTGGTGCCTTAGAAAATGTTTATAGGTATGCTAATAAACTCTCATTAAGAGAAAAGAGGAATTAAAACCGAACATTTATTTGTCCACTGCCCTAGCTAATTTGGAACTGTGTACTATGGGCCTGGATGACCAAGAGCGCAGACGTGACTAAAGGGACAGCAACATGCAAATGTGTCTCTTCTGCACACCAGGCAAACCAAGCACCATGCACATCAAAAATAAGACGGGTCCTATTTCTGTTTAACTGAGGGATCAGCAGTTGGCTTCCATCCCTTTTTCTGCGTTGGATCAATCTAGGTCAGGGCTTGTATCTACAGATGGATTCCGGGCTTGCGTGGTATTTAGAATCAGTGAATGTTCAGAGCCCAGTTTATCCTTGGGTCCCACAATATTCCTTTCCAGCAAATTTATTAGCACTTCAGAATGCCATGAAGTATGATGGAAAAGATCCTAGATGATCTAAACTGACTTCAATAGTAGGAGAGTAGAAAACAAAATCATCCTTCCCAAATGGTAATAGTGAGTAAATTAGATTGAAGATTATTTCAGGCCTAGAACTTCCTCATCTATAAGAATCCCTGATTAAATTGGAAATTTCATAGATACACAAAGTGAAATTATTCATTAATCTTAATACTTGCCCTTATGGAATTACCGTGTCTTGTGGTGGAAACTGAAGTCATTGCACAACAAAACCTTTTCCTCGGTCATTGCACAGAATACGTCATATAAACTTGACCTAAAGACTCTGACCTGCTTTAGTCATTTACTCACTCATTTTCTCTCCTTTTCATATTATTATTGTAATGTCTATTGTATTGATCTCCATCATCTACCCCTACATTTATGAAGAATTTTACAATTTACAAAGTGCTATTACTTACATTATTATCTCCCATAACAAACTTGTGGAATAGGTAAGACTGAAAATGATTATTCCTATCTTAAAGACGAGGAAACTAAGGCTCATCAAGATTAAATAATGTCCCACAGGTTAGCAGGTGGCATAAAGGAGCGGGATACTTTCTTTGTCTAGCTCTTCACCAGTGGTAGCATATTAATCCCCCTGCACAGAGGGAGGACTTTGCATGGCATTAATGTTATGAACAGCATACAATGGTCACCCAGAAATGTAAAAAAGCTGTTACTTTGTTTTAAAACTACGGTTTAGTTTTAAAGCATATTTTCCTTAAATGAAAATGTATGTCCTAGTCAACAATCATCTGATTCAGGTAACATTGAGAAGATGAACAAAATTTTATCTTTTTCTCTGTATCCCTATTTCTTTTAGAAAAAGTAAATGTTTACTTTTCCTATGTCTTTTTCAAAAGAGGTAATTTATTCATTAATGAATGCATATTAACAATATGCTCGTTGCTGGCAGTGTGCTACATGTTGAAGAAAACAGTAAATAAAGTAGGTACAGGCTTTAAGAAAGTAACAGATTAGCACGGGAACAAGACAGTTATCTAGAGAACTCTAATGTATGATGGAAACTGGTAAGAGTGGGAAATGCATCTGGCCGGACAAAAGGGAGACATTTTCCATAAAGAAAGGAACTGGTTTTGAAGCTCCAATTTAGATAAGCGTAGAATGGGGTGCAAAGGAGTGGGAAGTGAATGGGTATATGTGGAAACACGAGCAAATGCCCAGGGGTCAGAAAGCTTGGGGTTTGTGTGGTGAATACCTGGTAGTTGAGCATCGATAATGGCAACAGGAGTAAGGAGAGACACAAAGGTAGACTCAGTCAGAAGGCAGAGGATGACTTAAAATCATTGTCATAGGTACTGAGGGTAGCCATTCTGGGTTAAAAATTTTTAAGAGGCATGGCGTACATAGCATTTATATAACTGAACATTTAGATAAATTATGTCTTAATTTTTATCCCCTAGAAAAGCCAGAGTCTTTAGCTTTGAGAATATTAGGGATATATTTTTTTGACTTTGGAAAAGTGTAAATGGTTCCATCATATTCAGTGAGTTCTGTGATTAGATTGATATTACGTAGTCAATACGACAGATTCAAAAATCAAGAAAGTTATTTAGACAATAATATATTAAATTGTAGCATTCTTTCTGGATGTGGAAACTCATAAGCTTCAAAACCTAAATTGGTTATTCCTCATTTTAATTGTTTGATATTTTCATCAAAATCCATTATATTATTTCTCTTTCTTTATTGGCATTTTAAAGGCTCCTTATGTTGTGTATTAGAATATTTAATTAATGTGCCACTTCCTTCTGTTTCTTTTAATAAAGGTGCATTGCCACCCAGAACTTCTGGTTAATATAAATTCCACTTTCAAGTATTCCCTCACCTCGTGTTAATTAGCAGGGCTTTTCACTGTCTGAATCATTTCCTCACTACTCAAACACCTTTTTTCAGGGTTTATCCTACAGGATTTTGAAGCAAAATTTGCTTAGCTACATCAGAATTGCCCTTTGTACCAGACATCCATAATTTATGCAGCCAAGTGAACTTAGTTCTTCAAAGTGGTTTTCTTGGGAGCTTCCATGTTAATTTACTTATTTTCCAAAGCTCTAAACATTTTGAAAATCTCTTTTATGGGGGGAAACTATTTTCATATCCAGTTGGTAAACCACGTGAAGGAAATGTCTTCAGTATTTTTTTACTCTGGAAACTTTACTCAAATTAACCCACCTATTGATCAGAGTTAGCAGTACATGACTCACATAGAGCCTCAGAGGATTAATATGCTAACACAGAAGATGAAAAGAACATGCCAGAAGTCCTAACGTATTACTCATTGGGCCAGTCTGATGCCGGTGGGCCCTTCATGTCCAGTGCCACGTTGTCATGCCTCATGCTGAATTCCAGAAAGTCAGAGTCTTCAAGCACAGTTGATCACTGTGAAGCCTGCTAACTCCTAATTAACTACCTTTATATTTTATTTTCATATCTTGGCTTTTAGTCTAATCCTGGAAGCAGTGAAAATTATCTTTAAATTAAAGTGACTCTTCATCGAATCAGAATCTGTATGTTCTTACCTTAAAGAAACAAAGAAGCTTATTTATTTTAAATAACTTAGGGCCTGGGACTAATTTTGTAAGTTTGGAACAGGTCCCAAAACATAATTTCCTGCCAGGCCACAATCCTGATTTAGGATATCCCTGCTCTTTCCATTTGAAAGCCTATGTCGGTCGGGTTCTGGCCACTGGGAGACACCTTACAGTGATTTTGTGGTCCAGTGATAAGGCCCTCCTTGTCTGAGGTCTGCATGACAACTGCCCCATTGTCCCTTGTGACACTTTGTTGGGGGGCAGAAGCTGTCGGATCAGACAGTGGCACCTCCAGATAGCTCCCGCTGGAAGCTGGCAGTCTGCGCTCTGCATCCAAGAGCTGGCACTGTGTTAGTGAGCCTGCCACTTTTTGAAGGGAGCACAAAAGAGACTTGTTTGCTTGACTTTGAATCCAATGAGCAGCTTTCTCCTGTTTTGTGTAGTTTTTCAGCCTTTTGACTTGTAAAATAGAGAAGTCATATTTCAATTTCTCCAGGTTGAAAAATTGCCCCTTTTTTGATCTGTCACTAAGAAATGTGAAACAGTTATTTCTGAGGCAGCTTTATTATGGAAAATGGAATAACTAACTCATGTCACTCAAATCAAGTCCCTCAGGGAGTAGGTCCAGCAATGATTCAAAAGCCAGGAATAAGATTAAAACCGAATTTTCTAAGGGGAATGAGGAGCAGGTTCCCCCCCCCCCCACCCAGTGAATGGCACTTAACAAAGGAAACATAGATTCATAAGGTACAAGGGAAATGTTTGAATCTTGCTCCTCCCACCTCCTTCTGCTGTAGGTGAAGAGTGTGGGGCAGCTTTGATACTTTAGGCAGAGTGAATGCTCTCTGACAATGGAAAGGTCAGTCTGAACAACGTTGAGGAAACTGAGTTTTT